CTGGAAAACGAGAAAATGCAGTAAACTCCTATCCTACCTGGTTGCCTTGTAGGCGGGGAAGTGTGACTGGAATGGGGTGAACAGTGGGGCAGTCGGCGAGTTACTACAGGAAGTACTGTGGGAGTATGGGTAGGTGGATGGGGGGGCGGATAGTAAAATAGAGCGTTGATCTTTACTGTGAGCGCTGGAGGAGGGCTGACCTCTGGTAGTGGGCAGCATGTCTGAAAGGCCCTGCCACGCCGTCACCATCTCCGGGTTCTTCTGGTCGGCAAAGTTCTTCCATATACGTAACGCTCCGTCATCTGGAGAGAGGGGAGGGGGCCGGTGTGGGATAGAAACAGGAAGATACAGAGAGGGAAGTAAAGAGTGAGAGCCAGAACAGGAACACGGATAAAGAGACACTTGTTTGTATTCTTCACAGATTTGGAAGCACATGTTGAACTGTGGAGAAGATTTGTTGAAAACCTTGAAGTGAGACTCTTTTCAAAACATGCAACACACAGCGTGACTTGACCATGAATACACACATACTTCAATCAATAGAGAATGTAAAGCGGCATCTTAAAAGGCTTTTTGCTTAAAAGTGGTGTGTCTGTGAGAAACAAAGTGAGGCACGAGTCTCTAACTATAAAAACCTCTGTCGGAACACGGCAGCTGAAACACAGCTAAGACACCAGCTCAACATAAAACATGTCCACGCACTCTTATGAGAGAGCTATAACAACCCATAAAAGTCTCCACTTGATTTACATTCTTACTTTTTTAACGCTGTATATTTTTTATAACTAATGTCCTCCCTGATATCCTTCACAGCATGACTGATGGCGAAAAGCTGAATAAGTGCACATTACATTTTGATGAGATGGAATTTAAATTTATTAATCCCTGAGCTGTTATCAAGGCCTCAGAAGGTGTGCAATAAAATACAGCTTCATTCTTATCTCATTGTTACACTGCTAAGACAAAACAAAACAAACGTGTGTTTCTGTGTGTGTTTTAATGTAGAGTTGTTGCTACAGTTCCTCTGGGTTATGAAGATAAAGCCATGGAGGGTAATTGCTTTGTTGTGTTGATGAATGATGATGAATACACACAAGTGCTTCGTGAGTGTGTTTGCGGGGGTAAGAGTCAAGTGTTTAAGGCTCGTTGCTGCTACAAATGAGTCTCTTTGCGATTTCCGTAGTGCTGGTGGACGTGATCACTTGAGCCGCTCACTCAAAGAAATGCATTCCTAACTTGAGATTTTACTCTGTAAAAAAAAAGTTCTTTTCCGCGATCGTACATGTGCATGTTGCGTATCCGTTTCAAACCTGTTGCCGTGAGCAGTAATGAGCAGTCATGCCCGTTCAGGTACTCCATGGATGTTATGCGAGTGTAACGAGGGTTTCCGTTGTAGAAGTAGTCCAGCCTCTCGCCCTTCTCCCAGTCCCAGAAACTGCAGCAAACACACACACACACATTCTTATACTCTGTTATTCATGATTTTTTCAAGATTTATTCTCTTAAAGATTTGATCTGTTTTAGGTTTAAAACCATCATGTATGAAACTGAATCGTTTGCAGAATGGACTTATGGCTGATTCTGTTTTTCAGACTGAGCGTGTCTCTGACCAGATGCTGTCCTTGTCGGCCACAGCGATGCAGGTGTTGAAGGGGTGGAACTTCACAACAGACGGTACTCCAGGGTTTCGGTTGATGAATATTTGATCATCCAGACGTGAGACACCTGTAACGGAGGAGAACAAGCCAGAATGGGAACAAGTGTAAAAAGGAGGAGAATTTCTTGAAACTGGAAAATCACAGGTTTCATTCCTGCTGGAGTGCCCCATCCTGCCAACCTGAACCTGTGAATTTTCAACCTCATATAGCAACAGGTGCTGGCAATGTGCTGGGGCTGCAAGTGTACATAGTGCTTCCAGGAAATAGCTACAACCCCACACTCTAGTGCCCTCAAAAACTGCTTATAATCCCACAATGCAATATGCTATATTTATAGACACACAAAAG